TATGATGTAGCCATCCCTCCCTCCCCGGGAGTTAATTTCTCTCTGTCTCTGTCTCTGTCTCGCACAACCATACATGCCCTAAAACAAAAACTTCTTACAAAAAAAAAAAAAAGAAGCATTGATTTGCCAACCTTCCCCCTTAGAGCCAAGACCCTCAACTTGGAGAAGTGTTGACAAAGTTTCCAGTGAAAAAAATGTCCTGCCTCTCCTGCAACAAATGGAGGTTAGTGATATACACATGGAAACAATTGAGAGGGGATTCCTGGGAAGAAATTTGGAGGGAGGCAGGCTAAGCTGGGAGGTGTAGCCCTCTTTGCCTCTTGCCCTTCCTTCTGCTTCCTACCCAAATTGTGGCTGTGAGGAACAGCACTTGCACAGCCATCAGCTCTGAAAGTGACCTTGATGATGGAAACTGCACTAGAGGCAAGGAATCCAAAGGCAACAGGAGTGTACTCCCAGTGATCAGATCAAAAAGCAGCTCTCCTAGCCATAGCTTTCTTTTCTCCAGGTTTTCCTGATATGAACAAGTAATAAACCATTAACTTATTATAAACTTACAAATCAGCTTTGAGTTTTTAGTTAAATGCTAGCTAACCAAACCTCATTAAATACTAAATACTGCATCAGTGTTCACCCAGCCCAGGTGACTCTTAGAAAAGACAGAGAGGAGAAACACTTTCTCCAGCACTAGCCAGCATTTCGCCCCTCGGCGAAATGCAAGCAGCAGCATTTCTGGCCCTCGGCTTTTCTTTCATGGAAAATGTCCTGTAAAATTGATTAAGTAAAATGGATTCAGTTTCGCCCCACTGACCAGCATGCTGCTTGCATTTCTGGCCCTCGGCTTTTCTTTCATGGAAAATGTCCTGTAAAATTGATTAAGTAAAATGGATTCAGTCCATAGAAAGTGAGCAAACGTATCTTCTCCCTTACCTGGTTTATAAAGACAAGACACTGGGATACTCCTTAAAAATAAGAGAAACTCGGGGGCAATAGCATTCAGAAGCCTACACCTGACTGAGAAAACAGCAGGAGTCCTTTTACAACCAAAAGGGGTGGATCAGCCCAAGCCTCGAGATTAAGAAAGTTGCATCCAATATGACCTAATGAGGTTTGAAGCCCAGCCCTGGCAGATTGAGAATCACACTAGGGGCTGGATGCTCGTGCACATGTACCCAAAATCTCAACACGATGAGGAAACCTAAGAGAAGGAACTGCAGTGTGACTGCACCCCCACTGGCAAAGAGTGCTTTCTCCTCTCCCTCAATCTCTTGCAAAAAAAAGAAAAAAAAATTAATTAAAAAAAATTTTAAATGTCATCTTACCAGTTAAAAGGTCATTGTACTTGTGTTTACTGCCAATTTCATGCCCATCTTCTCCACCCACTATAAGTGGGATGAGACATGAAGGAGAAACTGTTTTTTGGGGTTTTTTTTTTTTTGGTATTTTTGTTTTGTTTTGTTTTGTTTTTTTACCATTATGTCCTCAGGGTTTAGCACAGAGACTGGCCAATAGTAGGGGCTCAAAAAGGATTTGGTGAATGAATGAATAGTGACTAGGTAGACAAATACTGATCTTTTCATGTTAAAACTGATCCTTCTACTCACTTACTTTTGTTCTCATGCATGTGTGAAAGAGAGAAAATCCCCTCCCAGTTGGGGCCTAGTCAGAACACAGTCCTTTCTCCTCCAGTTCTCCAACCTGTGAGAATACTTTTTTTTTTAAAGGTTTTTGCCACAGATGCATACATTCAACCCCCGCCCCCAAAAAAGAGGGAGACACAAGACAGGAAAAGTGAGAAATTGTCCCCCAGGAGGCATGGCCACACAAGAATCCTTTTTCTCCTATTCTCCTCTTGGGATTTTGGGCACACATGCACAGTGTGATTTTCAAGCTGCTGGATCTGGGACTTGAACTGCAGTCAGCCATGTGAGAGGGAGTCTGGCGCCTTAACCACACGCCACCTGCTGGCTCCAGACTAGCATGATTTTAAGCCACCAGGACCAGGACACGAACTCTGGTAAACCATATAGCATCCAGCTTCCTCTGTACAGTGCTTAACTGCCCTTTCCATTCATTTTGAGTAAAACAACCAAGCAAGTACTCAAGAAATGACCGGAGGAGAGCCAGCTGCTTGTGGAGTGGTTAAAGCAGCAGGATCCCACATGACCAGCTGAGAGGTTCCACTCACACTGGCCCTGGTGGCTTTACAAAAACAAGCCAGGCGGGGACCAGCAGTTAGCATAATAGCTATGTCGCTGGACTCCCATGTAGCCGAACGTGGTTCGAGTCCTGGACCCAGTGGCTTAAACTCATGCCGGGTACGTATGCGTGCGTGCCCAAGATCCTGAGAGGAAAAGGGAGGAGAAGGGATTGCAGCGTGGCCATCCCTCCTGGGGGGGTGGGGGGGATTTCTTTTTTTCTGTCTCTCTGTCCCTCTCTTTCTGGCGAGCGCAGGCGCCCTATAGCAAAAAACCTCTCAAAAAAAAAAAAAAAAAAGAATGAATACAACAAACAAACAAGCCAAGTCCATGTGCATGCACAAAATCCTGAGAGGAGGAAAATGGAGAAGGAATTGTGGCATGGCGTGTCCCCTAGGGGGGGTGCTTTCTCTTTTTCCCTGTCTCGCACACACCCTAAATAAAAATTTAAAATAATAATAAAAAAGAGGCGCCAGCAGGTGGTGTGGTGATTGGCACTGGACTCCCACATGGTCAGCCGCTGTTCCAGTCTAATACCTGGCAGTTTGTAACTCACACGGCGCATGTGCACGTGTGCCCAAAATCGGAGAAGAGAAGGGATTGCCATGTGGCCATCAGCCTCACCCCCAGGGGGTGATTTCCCACTTTTTCTCTGTCTCTTTCGGTCCAGTGAGGGAACTCGCCCTATGGAATAAATCTCTCAAAAAAGAAAAAAAAAAAAGAAGAAGAAAAAAAAAGAAGGAAAGAAAGAAGGAAGGAAAGAAAGAAGGAAGGAAAGAAAGAAGGAAGGAAAGAAAGAAGGAAGGAAAGAAAGAAGGAAGGAAAGAAAGAAGGAAGGAAAGAAAGAAGGAA